TTTAGTTTCGGAAGTTAGCTGGAATAATTTTAACCAACGCCCAACAACCATTGGCTGCGAGAACTTCGTGGATAAAATAGAGGATATGTTATAAATAGACAGAAACAACTAGTCCCAGAAAGTGAATCCCTTTCAAAAGCACAGAAAGGGAAGTTTCGCTTTTTTTTCATGGAGCTTTTATAGCAGAAGGAATATTGTTTCAGCTCTGCTTCATAATCTTTGCTTCTATTTTGAACGTTACAGTTGTCACACCAACAACTCAAACTTGTACTTTAGTGAATAAATCCGTTTTTATTCAACTTAATTTTAAATCACTTGGCTTAACCGCACTAAAAACACTTCAGACTGACGCTAACAAAATTTTTCGAACTAATGACAAAACCCACAAACAAAGTGATGAAAGAGGATGGGGAATGCATTTTGATCCGCTGCAGTTGGGACAGTGCCTAGTTCATTGTGAACTACGGATGTGTACACATCGTCGACACATTAGAGACGATATCGGTTTTCTACTACTGTCCACAACTTTTCGATAATTAGAATAGAAGGCCTAAGGAATTGAGAATTTTATAGAGTTATAGAACAGACATTTCTCTATTGCTTCACAAAAAGACAGAGGATAGAGCTCTCGGTATTGATCAATTCGTGAGGGATGTGTCATGAATTAGACTTCACTGAGCATCGTTGGAGGTGATTAAATGCAAATCTGGCCCTTACGATAACTCGCGGTTGCCTAGCGATGTATCGAGCCACCGTCACTAACCTTCCAGACAAGGCTGGTATCAAGTTGCCAACACTGGAGAGATGACGGACGTGGTGAGCCGGGGAACGCGGTGATCGATCACATGTGTATTGCAAAGCGCCTCCAACCACTGCGCTACATACGCCCCTATTGCTCCACACACACTAGAAAATAGATAGAAAATAAATCATGTTGAAAACCAATCGACTTATCGAAGGTAACAGTGAAAAAGCTGGTGGTATGAAGCGTAACACAGAAGCTCTCACACTTCCTGTTAGAGAGCGTCAGGAAAGTGAATCCAAGGAGGAGTACGACGATGTTTTTGATGAATGCAGAAATGAATGCGTGCACCACACAGGAGGCGGAAAAACCATCTCAGGTTGTTCAGAATGTACTCAAGCGAGGGCTTCACTTACAGTATTTTCCTATATACTGGCGATGATCCCTTCATAACTATAAATGCAGCTTATTCTTACTGATGACTGTAGGATTCGTAGGACGAAGGAGGACATCTCTGGACCTACAATTGGTACTCGATCTTTTCTCTATTAAAACCTTAATGAAAAAAAGACCAACCTTATCTATTACTAGAATAGAGAATTTCCCAAGCAGGTCATCCCTCTGAAGTTTAAGAGGGAACAGTGGAAAACTCAACAGAGCAAGCGCTTGTTGAAGTGGAAAAACATAAGGGACAACAGTGCAATAACCCTTCCTCTTGTCATGGAAACCGTAGAAAACAGAATAAGCTTCTCATGGATAAAACTGTTTAGAAGTCCTATCGTAAATATGTGTGGGCGCGTGTGACCTAGTGGTCGGAGGCGCCCTGCAACCAACATGAGATCGGTCCCCGCGCTCAAGGCTCACCAAGTCTTCCATACCTCCGGGCTGTGGAAATTGATAGCAGACTTGTCTGGGAACATACCAGCACTGGTTCGATACATCGGTAGGCCAAGGCGAGTTCTTGCAAACGTTAGATATGCATTCAGTCACTTACAACAATACTTAATGAAGTTGAACGCACGGCGCATCCCTAAGGGATTGGTCGACGCCGAAAGCTTTATGCTTTATAAATTATCCTTTGTCGTAAGCATGTTATGAAAACCTCAGCCGCTTTAAAATAGGCGTTTATCTGCGTTACGTTGCAAAGCGAATTCATCCACATAGTGGCCTTCTCATTTCCTTGAAGTACGGATTATTAGTGGATGGTAAAAGCCAAAACGATATATAGGATTTCAAACAGCAATATCAAGGTACTAGTGTAAATGCGCAGCAATACATGTCATGTAGGTTAGCACTGGAAGCAATTGTTGTACGGAACATTACTTCCCTGATACTAGATACTTGATACTTGAATTACACGCCCTCACTGGTTATGCGGGCTCCAGCACAATCTCCATTTTTCGGAGATTTGCTGGTTAAGCCATTGTGGTTCCGTGAAACCCCGAGGTCAGGCTGGCCAAACTCTGCCCCAGGTCTTCACCACCACAGGCAGTCACAGCTCTTGTGGGTCACAATGAGATTTGCCACCATGCGACTTTGATATCAAGACAGTGGTGGATCCTGGTATTGGTTTACTCTTAGCTAAGCTTTCTGATGGAAACGCCGAACTTCTTCTCGGCTTGGGAGACCCTGTTGTGAGGACGGTCCCTCGCTGTAAATCGCAGTCCAACACCCACGAACACTTCCCACCCACGATTAGGCGGTAAACCGTTGGGAGAATATGGGAACACTGGATAGAAAAAATAGTTGCAAGTCGGGAAATTAAGCGAAATGTGCTCTGAATTGGAAAATTATTTCTACCAAAAATAGCTAGATAGCTACGAGCTAATATTGCACTTGAAGCTGGTTTTTGTTGAATCGATGACAATTTCCCTATCACTTACGGATTTGATGAGTTGAAAACTTCACCAGATTATAGAAAGGATTTTGATCTTTTGCTTTAGTCGAAGGTAATACATTTATGAACCATGCAAGTATAAGTACACTTGAGATTCGAATATTTTTAAAATATCCACATTTAAACATGTTTGAGATCCAATTTCTCACATACTGAAAACGAAACCTAAAATTCTCAAAAAGTGATATCCCAACAAAGACATGGATCAAAGGGCAGAAAATTTCTGAAGAAACCACTTCGATAAACACTAGAATTAACAAAGAAAAAAACAATGGACGAATGAGGTGTGGAAATAGCGACTGGTGATCATCGACAGCTTCGAAAGAAACTGTCACTGTATAGTTGCCGAAATAACTGAGCGCTGATCAGATGGCCACAAAAACTACTCTTCTCCATCAAAACAGCGCCTGACCGTTACCAATATTATCGGATTGTCAAAAGAAACACTTTTGTAAAGAAAAACCACTACGATGCCGAGATATTTGCAAACCTCCGGACCACAGCTGTCTGCGGTGGGGAACGAGCGCGTTGTTGCCCTTTCCTAGGAGTGATGCGTTCACCACCACACCAACCGGGTCCTTCGTTTCGCCTCTATCTCAGCTAGTTCTATCGATCTTTTGCCATCAATTTAACTGCGTTCAATGCCGATTTTGGCCTCCCAGATCAATCCCGTTGACGGGTGATTGCTGATGGCAAAAGATCAATAGAACTAGCTGAGAGACAGGCGAAACGAAGGACCCGGTTGGTGTGATGGTGAATGCGTTACTCCCCGAAAAGCACAATAACGTGTTCGTTCCCCACCGCAGACACCTGAAATCCGGAGTTTTGCAAATATCTCAGCATTATAGAAGTTTTATTTCGCAACATACTCTGCCGTTAAAAAGAATAGGCAGTAAGTAAAATGGTTAAGATTGTGACGACGTTTTGTTCTTATTCAACTGCTTCACCTGTCACCCTGTTGTGCAGTTGATCATCGAGTGACTCGAATGGGTGCCAGTAAATCTTCATTTTTCCCTGCCTCGTGCAAGAATAGTCCAGTGGGTTCTGCTCGCTCTAGGTACTCGTTGAGCAACATACCTCTCTTCTAGCCTTTTCGTGAAGAACTCCAACCATTGGATCGGTGGCCTTCCTGCAGTACTTTTGACATCCCAAGGAATCCAGTCACTAAAAGCTCTTGCCTATCAGTTGTCGATCATAGGCATTACGTATCAAGACCACCTTGTCTTCGACTGTTTGGCGTAAAGAACGGCATCTTTGATTTCTGTTCGCTAACGTAGATCGGAGCTTCGGATTTCTTCTCTAGCGTGCGTCTCCGACTCCGTACCCACCTTTTCGACTTAATGGTACATCCTGCGTTAACGTATGCGTCAGAAACCTAGTCACAACGTAAACGGAGTGAAAGAACAATAAGCGTTATCGAACGCGCAGTCGAAAGAACGATGCAAGGAGTATCCTGTGTCACGCAAGTAAGGGAAGGGATCCAAAGCTCCGAGCTGCGTCAACGATCAAAAATCAAAGATGCCGCCGTTCTGTACGCCAAACAGTCGAAGATAAGGTGAGCCGGACACGTAATGCGTATGAATGACAACCGATGGACAGGAGCCTTTAGTGACTGGATTCCTCGGAATATCAAACGCAGTGCACGAAGACCACCGATCCGATGGTCAGAGTTCTTTATGGAAAGCACAGAAGAAGGATGTGATGCTCGACGAGTCCCTAGAGCGAGCAGAACCCACTGGGCTACTCTTGCACTCGACAGCGAGAAATGGAAGATTTAGTGGCGCCCGCACGAGTCGCTCGCCGATGAACACGACTACAGGTGATACAGATGACACAGGCCGCCGGTCGGACCATCGGATCCCTTCCTTTATTTAACTTATGCTTAACTGGGTTCAGTGCCGATGTGGGCACCCCAGATTAATCCCGTTGATGGGTTATTGCCGATGGAACTGATAAATAGAACTAGTTGAGAGACAGGCGATACGAAAGACCCGTATGGTGTGGCGGTGAACGCGCTTGTCCCGGAAAGGGTAAGAGCATGTTCGTTCACCATTGCAGACACTTGTACTCCGGAGTTTTGCAAATATCTCGGCATCGTAGTGGCTGTATTTCGCATAATTCCCTGCCGTAAAAGTTTTACTAGGCATAAAATAAAAAGTAAAGATCTTGTAAAGCAGTTACTACACTGATGGTCTAAAACTTCTCGGCAGCAGCAGCACGGTAGCGAGCAGTTTCGTGCCTGAGAATTGCTCTCGATACTACGAATATCGTCTTAGCTCGACAGTCAATACACTTTTTCCGCCGCTGTCTAAAACATCGAGTCGTTCCGAACTTCATCAAACGAAGACGACTACACGACGTATGCGGACTACCAGAGGACAGTCACCGAGTATTGGACGTCGAATTGCGAATACTACGCACTTGTCTACGAAGCCGACAAAACCAGATGTTCGCCAAGTGGAAGAAGTGCGAGACGAAGGAAAACTTTTGCGCTCAATATTTGGAGAACCGCCTCTGGAGGAGAATAGTGGGCGGGTCAGTGTTGATTTGCAACTCTATTAGGTCTAATGCTAAAGTAGCTTTGCAGAGAAAATTCGAAGACCTTTTCAGTAAATCACATAACACAGCTTCAATACCGCACGAAAATATCGCTAAAGAACATCAAACAGATCACGTTAGGATAGGTAATGTGCAAGAAAATTCAAGGCTAACCGTGTTAGGAGGCATAACTCTCCCTGACGGTGCGCGCAAAATGGCTTCCATTCTTGAACGTACAAATTCACCTATCAGAAAATGGCTACATTACGAAGTGGTACCGAAAGCCAAGTAGTAAAAACATCTTGGTTCATTACCTTTCCTCTCACCCCTCTCACACGAAAAGGGCGCTCATAAGAAACATGTTTCGAACAGCAACCAACGTGTGCACGGGAAGAGAGCAGAGAGAGGAGTCCCGGTAGAGGAAATCGTAGGCCTCCAAACGACAACTCTAGCGATAGAAGGGTCCCGTTTATCCTACCCTTCATCTCAAATGATATAAGTACAGCTATAAAACGCTGCTTAAGAAGGGCGGGCTTAGAGAATTCGGTGAGCGTAGTTGAAATACCACCGAGTAGTCTTAAGCGCCAGCTAGTTCGTAACCGCCGACATGACCGTCTATGTGCAACTCAAAATTGCATAATCTGCCCCAGTGGTAGAGACGGTGATTGCATGAGCTCGGGTATAGTTTATCTGATCTCCTGTAAGACGTGCGGTGACGAATACATTGGCGAAACGGGTAGACCCCTCTGTGTCCGCACAAAAGAACACCTAGCCGGCAAACATAGACCAAATACACCGCTAGGCACGCACAGGACCCANAAGAAACATGTTTCGAACAGCAACCAACGTGTGCACGGGAAGAGAGCAGAGAGAGGAGTCCCGGTAGAGGAAATCGTAGGCCTCCAAACGACAACTCTAGCGATAGAAGGGTCCCGTTTATCCTACCCTTCATCTCAAATGATATAAGTACAGCTATAAAACGCTGCTTAAGAAGGGCGGGCTTAGAGAATTCGGTGAGCGTAGTTGAAATACCACCGAGTAGTCTTAAGCGCCAGCTAGTTCGTAACCGCCGACATGACCGTCTATGTGCAACTCAAAATTGCATAATCTGCCCCAGTGGTAGAGACGGTGATTGCATGAGCTCGGGTATAGTTTATCTGATCTCCTGTAAGACGTGCGGTGACGAATACATTGGCGAAACGGGTAGACCCCTCTGTGTCCGCACAAAAGAACACCTAGCCGGCAAACATAGACCAAATACACCGCTAGGCACGCACAGGACCCAGAGACATAACGGGGACGACTTTGAAGTATGTGTCACGATCCTCGCACACGAATCAAGAGCACAGGCGCGAAAAACTCTCGAGGCACTCTGGATTAATTCCAGAAATCCGAAAGTGAACCGCAGGGAAGAATGCCTCATTATCACGAGTGATATAGGGCAGTATATAAGACTGCTATTCTGATGTGAGGGGCGCATTATGCTTCCATGTGATTTCTGTGCGGTTGGTCCCTACGTGACATGCTTAGTGGAAACCTCATAGAAAGCGGTGAGTGTGCGAAGCTGTGTTCAAAGTTATTGAAATCTTGGTTTGGAGTTTCTTTGTTTGGTTATGGAGGCGTCTGGCCGAGTAGATTGCTATCAACTTGACCTTTCCAGGCTCTGGGGAAGGCGAAACCCGCTGAAACGTCAGCTTATTCGTGAATAAGGAATAATAACACCTCGCGTTTGCTCAATAAAAATACGAAGAACTACAAATATTGCTGGTCTACATTGATACACTAGCTAATTTCTAAAAATTTAACACAAACTCAAGCCCTTGTCGCCCCTTTAATTTTATACAGTGCAGTAATCCATGGATTTCCGGTGCTACAAAATTCTTTGTATGAGGGAATTTGAGCAGCTCGTTCACGAGAGTAAGCAGTGCGTCGTCAGCCGGAGAATAAGCGGTTAAGCTTTGAACGATAGTGAATTTGTAAACACTTGCCATGAAGTGTAGATGAATTCTTGGGATCGGCTTCTTGTATCTGCTACGTCAGATTGAGTTGTACCTGCCAGATTCAAGAAGGTATACTCCGTTATGGGCGTGCTTGCGTGTGTGCAGTTTGTACTCTCTACATCGATTGGCCAAAAATATTCAGTAAAGTGAGTGAGTGAAAAATATTCAATAAAGTGATGCCTCACGAAAGCCATTAGGTTCACATCTCGCAAATATGCCCTATTCCAAGAGAACTCCGAAGCTAATCGTGGATGTAATCGACTCTCAGAGTTGAGCTCGTTAAGCCACCTATAGGTACCCTCTTATTAAGAAGGGTAAAAATAAGCGTCATTTTGCGAATAGGCTGGTGTTATTCATTTCTTACGAGAGAGCGGAGCTCACTAAGTTGAAATCGCTAACATACCCAACTTATAATGATATTAAGAATTTAACAAAGTGCAAAACTTTTCATCATTCATATTTATTAAACATCCATTGATCTGCAGCCCAATTCACGTCACCTCCTGCTTATATAATATTTGCCTATAATAATTTATGTGTATGGTAGAATAGAGGGGATAGCGCAGTGGTTGGTTGCGCCGTCGATCTGGAAGCAAAAGCGCTAGTTTGATCCCTACACAAAGGCTGTTCTACACTCCGCGTCGGAACACCTTGGCCAGGCTATCTCCAATATTGCGAGGATCGACTCGACCATTATTCTACGATATTCATAAAGAAGACGAAAGCCTCAAGCAACAACCGAAACAACACGGGTAATGTTTAAAGACCTTTGGGTTCGATGATTGCGACGGAAACGAATCGAATGCAAGTACAGCGACTCTTGCAGTATATGTAATGATGGGTCACTTCATTATGAAAGAGAACACTTGCCTTGAACCCTTTGTAGCGTATCTGAAATCGTAATGAGCGATCAACCTCTTGTAGTACTCAACACAGCGCCTCATTTTCCTTCACTTTCGACTTGTTTTTTTCAGTGAATGACTGTACGATGGCCGAGAAACACTATCATCCAGGATATAAGCTAATGGCATTTGTCACTTGTATCCTGAGCTCGCTAGCCGAGATTCTCCGAAGATTGTCGCAATTGATCTTCGATGCGTTTAGCAATCACATCGGCGTTACTCTGTAAAAGAGTGCCCGTATGCACATAAACTATCGCTGGAGAAAGATGCCTGTAATCCACGAGAAAACTGGGATATGGATGTATAACCTTCCAAAACTAGGTGTCACCTGACGCGTCCTCATTGTGGAATCATGCCCGGGCATAACCGAATTTTTCAAAATGGAGCGCATTTCCTTCAACCCTATTGTTGCGAATGCTTGGTGGTCCTCTTAGGATACGGAGTTGATTAGGATATCAACAGATTTCGCTCCGTAAATGTATCTTTCTTTGTAGACGTCTTTAAACGTTTTAGTTTCCTACCTTGTTTTTTCAAAATGTTTCTTCTACTCACTAGGCCCTTAATGTTCTTTAAGTCTGTTTGTCATCCGTTGTGAACTGTTCTAAACCTGGGGTCGAAGAAAGTTTCTTTACTTATATTTCGTGCTCCCTTTGAAGGTGTGTCCTATGAGGAATTCGAGTTATGCGGCATTCTTACTGTTTCATGACTGGCCTAACTGCTTCGCCTATACGCGGAACATCACCTCAGTTTATGAGAATACTGACATTTCGGAACGGGTAATCGCGAAGTTTTCTTTTTTCTACTGTTTTAGTTGCAGATATTGCTGTTTTCAATATTTAACACGAAACTGTTTCCTAATGATTTGCCGGCTCATCGTGGCTGGGAGGTGTTCCTGAATGTCGGGCTGCGATATACAGCGGGGGGATTCATCCACCTAGCAGGGTCTCCCAAGCCAAGGAATCCGGTGTTTCCATCAGGAAGCCCCGTTAAGAGTAGACCAATACCAGGATCGATCACCGTTTAGGTATGAAGCTAGTCGCATGGTAGCAAATCTCCCTCGGATCCACAAGGGCAGTGAGTGCCTGTGGTGGTGAAGACCTGGGGCAGACTTTGGCTTGGCTGACCTGGGGATTCCAGGGAACCACAATGGCTAAACAAGTAGAACTTCGAAGCAATGGGAATTACGCTGGGGCCTGCACAACCAGTAAAGACCGGCCATCCAAATATCCAAGTAAGTAGGTAATACGAAACTGTTAACTGTTTAGGTGTCGTCGAGCAACTTGTTAGGATGTTTCTGTATTCGTGCGTGCGAAAATCCAGAACATGAGTTCTGTGTGCAGGTGTTTGGGTGTCAGCCATTCACTCATGTCTACGTGAATCGAACATTTGCCACTATGGCGAAGTTCAAGTGTAACCAGGAGGTGATAGCCTTTCATTCTGCTTCCTCTTCCTAACTTACTTATGCGATGGTTCAGGTTATTATGGATCTAGTAAATTCAACAGTTTGCTCGTCTATTGAAATAGTTCCATTATCTCGAGATGATTACGAAATCCTTGTGGGTGGAAGAGATTTCGAAACTTCATGTCTATTTTTGACGTCTTAGTTGTAAATCCATGTTCTAACTTTGTTTTAGGAAAGATCTGGTAGTAGTGTCGAAGAGGTATTCCTTCAACAGATTCGTATTGTTCGGCCAGGAATGCGTTTTCCTCTATGGATTACGCCGAGTGTTTGCGCTACTTTTCGCGTAGGTGTGTCTGTTTAGCTTTCTTAACCTATTTTAGTATTCCCTTGAAATGACCGGTCTATTTCATTTCTTTCATGCAAATGTCTGCACTTATAAATGTGATTTTATTTGGTGATTTTTTAAGAACATATCACACCATCGTCGAATCAGGCTACTCTTGTGTTTCCATCAACAGTTTTGAACATTCTAACTCCAACTGAAGGTAGATATTCTCCGACAAGCAGTGAGCACTCCACTGCCAAGAAGATTAAGGTTTGCTAGAAAAGCCGCTCTCTTTAAGTCTCTGTAATTAAATAGTATGTGAAACCTCCGTGCTTTTGTCAGATTTTGCATTGGTTTTCAGATAAGTGATCTATTTCCTAGAATTGGTGCAACTGTCAATGATTTTCCCACACCTTTGCCTTTTCGTGCGGAAGCATTTCGGGTTGTACCGAATTCGCTAGTCAAGGAAAGCATATTTTCAACGAATCCGTGTCATCCTTGTGTTATCTACATTCTTGGAGATGGTATGTATTTGTAGCGAAGTTCAACATGGTTTCGTTGCCTTTTCATTGGTGGTTGCGTTGTATTCCAGAGTCTCTTCATTACTCCTTGTACAGTGTAACGCTAGTAGAAAGTGCTTTGAATCTGCCAATTATGCAGTTCGCTCTTAGCATTTCTGTACCTCCTAGAAGCGTTTCGGATGACGTATTCTCTGAGTCGATTGTCAGTGTTCTTAAGGTAAGGTGTTTTTCCTCTATTGTTGTTTCATTCCTTACGACTGTTTAAACCATTAAAATTTTCTGATATAGTGGAAAGCAAAGGAAAAGGTCATAATAGTTTATAATTGAAAGCAGCGGATCTCCGTTATACGAGGGTCTCAAGGTGTCTAGGCACAAAATCACGTGGTGGATCATCGGGTTCAACGCAGGCAGACCAATGGCGATCACGTATTTACCCTGGGACGGAAGACGACTCATATACTCAGCTCTGTATTCCTGCTGCGTCGTAGTGACCTATATACCGAATACAATTAGTCATATTCATGTATACGTGTGTTTAAGCTTATATAGATTGTAACCTGCTCATCATCTTGCTTGAAAGCCTACAATCAAATGTCCAAAATGTTGATATCCAGGGTAGTTCAAGGTCGCCTCAAATAAGTAAGCCACAAGTCTAACTGCAACATGCCGATAGGCTATCTATGGGTATACACACGAACTTTTCACGCTATACTAATCGTTTAGCCATTAGTTTATAATCTTTCGCCAAAGATAAGATGTCAGTCGCTCCAAACAGAAAGTGTGCTTCATCATCTCCCTTGAGCGGGTAATTAAACGGTCTCCCCTAGGCTAAGTAACCACTCCATTGCTTTGCGAGCGGTAAACTGGTGGCCTACGACTCGTTTTCGTAGGATAAATCAGAATTTTCGTTGTTTTTTTTTCTTCTCTCACTCTCAGTTTCAGTTGTAGATGAAACCAAACCTTTGCGTTGTCCCTAATAATGACTATTTGGCGTACTCTACGATATTGTTGACAACAGTGAGGGAACGACAGATTGTATTTGTCAAAAATGTCGATGTTTTTCCTTCAGCTGAGGTTAATTTTCTTTAATTTTTTACTCACTTGACTTAGGCGTACATTAGTTTATTAGTTTAGGATTTGGAATGTTTTCTCAGCAGTGAAAGACGTCGCGATATAGTGAAATCACTGAAAGATATGGTGGTTGTTCATCCTCTCCTGCTTTCTGCTGAAGGTCTTTCACTTTCTGTTAACTTGGGAAGTATGTGATGATCGCCATTTTCATCTAATTGTCGTTCACCTTTTCAATTCCTATTCACTGAAATATCAAAATAGAGTTAAGCTCGGAGTGTGATGGTTCATCTGGTTCCCGTTGATGATATGACCCCGAAGGAACGTCATCACCAGGAACTGTGTTGTTTTACTGCGGAAGCTGGTTGCACATTCACTCTGAAGGTTAAATTGTGGTTGGTGTATACTGAGATTTTACTCAACTAATTGATTTGCAGTTCGAACCGTTGGCTAAAAAATCGACTATTTCATTATCAGAACCGGATAACTATGGATTTTTGTCGCACAATTACTTTCTCAATTTGGGGTTTGCGGTGTTTTGTTATCTAAGATCTCTGTCGTCGTATTGATTGTGAAATTTTTAATTCAGTTCTCATTCCACTTTGATAAATGAACTGAGTGAATGGGCTGAATACTGTTGGTCTCACACTGGGTTCGGCCACGCGCTTTTACTTGGATCTGAAGGGAGTGGGAAGACTGCAATTGCAGCGTGTGTTGCTCGAAAGCTCGCATTTGATCATTGTGCACTTTCTGTACGAGTTAACTGTAGTCTTTGGAAAGGTTTGCTACGAGTCGTTAACAATTCTTACATTGCTTCCTTTACTTTTCTTGTTTTCAGGGACGCATTCAGAGACCGTCGAAAAAAAAATTTCAACAGAAATAAAGAAGCTTTCTGCTAGGAAGCCGAGTTTGTTAATTCTTGACAACTTCGACTTAATGAATGTGGCCAATGAGGAAGAGCAGCGAAATCTAGGGGTCGAAAAAGTTTTTCAAAGTCAGTGTGATTGTTGTCTGTATGTTGTACAACTTTATTGTGCTTGCCGGAAACGCGTCATAGTGTTCAGATTCATGCGTATTTCAACCAAAAAATGGTTGCTGCAGAATTTTGGGGTGAACTACAACGAAGCTGAGATATTCGCGAAACTCAGGCTCTGGGCTGGATCGAACCACGATTTCCCTTTCGGGGGGCTCGCTTATTACACACTCCACCACTGAGGCCTTTGATTTGCGTTTCTCGCAGCTAGTTTTCTACCTAACGCCGCTATCAACAATCATCTAAGGTCAGCGTTTTTTCTTCGTCGACGCGTACTTCCGTTTTCGTTTCGTAATGCAGTTTCGGTAGCTGCATTAGAAAATTGACGTGGTAAGGAAAATTTAAAAGGCGAAGGCGTTGATTTTAGGTTGATGCATAGCATAAGAGGTGGTAGGATTCTGCAATTTCATTTGTCCTAGTGTGGAGTGCATTCTATTCGGCTTACAAGTTCTCTCTAAGTTGAAGTCTACAAAGAAATGTAGTGACTAGTGCAGAATTTTCCTTTACTCTTTTATAACTAATTGATTACTCCCAACGGTTTACCGCCTCATCATGGTTGGGAAGTTTTCCTGGGTGTTGTGCTGCGATGTACAGCGGACGGATTCATCCCCCTGGCAGGGTCTCCCAAGCTGAGCAGGAGTCCGGCGTTTCCATCAGGAAGCCTAGCTAGGTGTAAACCAATATCAGGATCCACCACCGTCCTGGTGTCAAAGTCGCATGGTGGCAAATTTTCCTCTGATCCACAAGGCTGTGACTAGCTGTGGTAGTGAAAACCTGGGGCAGACTTAGGCTACGCTGACCTCCAGATTCCAGGGAACCCCAGTGGCTAAACAAGCAAAACTCCGCAGCAACGGAAATTATGCTGCGGCCCTCACCACCAGTGAAGACGGGGTATGTAAGTATCGAAGTTTAACTAATTGATTGAAACGACCTGCAGTGTAGTCATGCCGTAATGTGCTACTCTCATAGCAAAATTAGTTCCATACCATCAAAGGCAGTCATTCATTGTAAGCATCGTTATAAGTCTGATTTTCCGCCTTTTAAAATTTTGGGTAGTTGTGCATTTTCCAATCTAATCTTGCTATTTTTAGTGCTTTGGCGCTTATTATCCGCGAGTGTCGTACCTGTTCTAATAGTTGCAAAACAAACGAACTCTCTTTTCAAGTCTATTATTACACCAGTCGGTAAACGTCTATTTGCTGTGAGGAAGACGATTCCGTCTCTCAACCAGGTACGTGATTGTAAGTATTATCATATTGTTTTGTTCTGTGTGGTTTTGTTAGGCTGACATAAGTAACTAGTGAATTATTTAAGAGGCGACAAACTGGAAAATGTAGCTATAACTTCAAGCACCACTTAGTTTTCATCCTCAGAGTTCTATTCTAAGCGATCCCATCTCGGTGAGAACTATGGACCACTTCAAGACCTTGCTACCATCATTGCAAAATTTAGACGAATTTAAAGATCACTGATGCTGGGACGATAGAGGTCTTTTCACGCAACATTCCGCCTACGACACCAATGCTGTGATTGTTTTCTGTTCTGAACTGAATGCAATAATTTCATGATTGTTATTAAAATACAGATTGACACACGGTTACGATTCATCGCTTCTCTTTCCTGTAGTTGACGTTTCGTACTTAAGTGCTTAAGAGCAAAAATGCCAATGTGCACATGACGAATAACATTTTTGACTACTTAATATTGAGCACATACGTTAAACAGTTGCTGGGGACAGAGTTCCATCCAAGTGAAGACGTTTCGGATTCCCTTCTATCTCAGTGATCTGCACAGAAACGTCAACTGTCCGACGAGAGAACCAAGAGTGTTTATTCGAAAACACGATGTAGTATCTGAAATGAGGTGCAAATTTATATGAAGTCATTAAAAACTGTTAAAATTACGGCACTCTCTCTAGTTTTCCTCGCGCTCATGAGTTTCTTAACTGGTTTTTTTATCGGATTTTAACCTGGACTTTATTATTGCTTACACCTTGTTTAATCCATTTTGCTGTAACTTTTAAATTTTTTATCTACTTCCCAAGTGTCCTGCTTTGATCTTCACAACGGCTTACTGCCTAATCGTGGTTAGGTGTTCCTGGGTGTCAAGTTGCGATGTTCAGCGGAAGGATTCATTCTCCTAGCAGTGTCTGTCAGGCTGAAAAGGAGTCCTGCGTTTTCATCAGGAAATCCAGCTAAGAGTAAACCAATATCAGGGTCCACCACCGTCCCGATATCGTAGTCGCATAGTGACAGATCCCTCTGATCCATAGGGGCGGCGACTGTCTATGGTGGTGACGACCTGGAGTAGACTTTGGCTGGGCTGACCTCGGGACTCCAGGTAACCACAGCTGCTAAGGCAGCAAAACTCCGAAAAAATAGAAATCGTGCTTGGGTCCTCACAACCGTTGAAGACAGACCATCCAATTATCCAGGTAAATATGATAAGTGTACTGAGTCTAATTAAATACACTTTTTTTCATTTACGCTTCTGGAAGAAATATATTTCATGAATGTTTTTCAAGCAACCACTGGCGCCGTTTCCTTGCTACACGTCATCATCTTATATCGTTAAAATATTTGAGTAGGCATAGAAAACTAGCATGTTAACGCGTAAAATTGAATCACCTTCCGCTCCTCTTGCATTTTATGTAGTCTTTTTCGTGTACTAGTTTTGCAGTCAACTTCAACCATGGATACACCATTTCTAATGAGTCGAGATCCAAGTGGCGATCTTTTTCTAAATCGTATTTCTCCTAAAACAATAGACTAAAATTGTTCAAGTAGATCAGTGGTTGCTAAAGACTGATGCTTAAGGAAAGAAGGTAGAAGGTAAAGAGGTAAGGAAAAAATATGTTAAAAAACATTAGAGGGTGTTTTACGGTTAATATGAAGTGACGTTTTCAAATGTTAGAAAAGTTTCACAATACATCTTAAATTTTCTGACTGAGGAATTGTTGGGCCATTAGTTTAATTAGTTTTGCATGCAATCGAGCCAATTTCAAGTTTAGGCCACCACATCCCAGCTCATTACGAAATTTGTTAATTTAAATGAAGAACAAATCTGTTGGTCTTTATTAACAAGATGAAATTTATTTTACGACGTTCGAATCTTCTGTCTCTTGAGTTATGGCGCTTATTTCGAGTACGAAAGCAATTAAAAATGTGACATTTCGGCCGGCAGGACATTGAGGTGTACCTAGCCCAATGTATCGTTGACATTTGCGGCTGCCGATCTTGCTTTAGAATTTTCAAAAATTTAAACTCCATTTTTACTACCACAACGATACTGAGATATTTACAAAACTCCGGACCACAGATCTCTGCGGTGGAGGGCAAACGCGTTCATCACCACACCATGCGGATCCTTCGTTTCCTTTTCACTTTTTTGAGTATTTTGATTTTAAATGAGTTGAGGATTCTAAAAAAGTTCCGTAAATAATCTACACCCCCTGAAGGTGTTACAGCGTAATCTCATCTCTATGCCCATAAACTTTTCAACTCCTCCTCTGCTACTTTAAGCGGGAAACTATGGTATGTTCCGGCGAAGCCAGTTCAATCGCGAATCTATTTACAATATACTTGCTCTGTTATACGCAATTCTGTTAATCATATAGTGAGTGTTGTGGGCGTCACTGAGGTTTCCATCCATACTTATCGCTTTCTAGAGCGGCCCCGCTGGTATCCTGTTCACTCGAGGAACAAGAAGAACGTCATATTTTCCTTCAATTGTTCTCGTAAAGCAGTATCACCATCACGGACCACTCAAAGATATCCATTTCGTTGAGCATGAAAGGTCATCGTTGTTTAGCTCGAGCCTTTTGTTATTCCATCTGGTTAGTGTGTGAAATTATAAAGAACGATGTCGTAACCATAGTGAATATGGTATATCTGCTGTTCATCGGCTTTTTTCGCACGTTGTCCTATCTTAGTTTTTCGCAGGTTTTTGAAAGTAGTATTGGATACGTTGGTTTGTTGCACTGCTTCACCACCAAGATAGCATCTAGAACTTTGGAAAGGTAGATCTCGATATGAAATTCTCAGGACACTGGCTTGAAAGCAATTTTGTTGTCGAGGTCTCTAATGAAAACTATGTGAAAGGTATGGTCTTCTCTATACAACCTTCACTATCCCATAAAAAATGCATCGATCTCGTTTTTGCCGTAGTGACGTGAAGTTGTAGGCAACGAAGTTTTTCTAGGAAGTTGATCATGTTCGTTACCAAGTTCTTGTGATAAAAGCACTGTCGCCGTTTCCTCCATTGTCACACGTGGAACCTTTATCTTTCTATGTCGTAAAAAGGTTTTGTTCGATGATGTTTTCGCGCTGACTACTCCAATGACGTCGTCCTTGGGCTTTTAAGGTTGCATCATCAGATTCTCAGTCGGAAATCCAGATGTTATATAGCTACATTGTAACTACAGATCGTCACCAGAATTAATGTTTCATACTAGTTGAAACACTACTTTGTCCTTCAATTAGGGACGTACACCATGTAGACTCTTCTGTGTCATCATCTAGAAAATTTTTACGCTAAGATACTTCATATTATCTCATCTGTTATAACATGTACACATTATGTATGTACAAATAAATAGATATATATTTATATATCAACTGTACCTCGTAAAATATTCCAAAGAAAACGTCTCCATCAGTTCGAAAATACCAACTCAATGTCTTCGCGTCCGTGATTTCTATCGTCATGTGACGACTTTTTCTAGCAGGAATATGGAAGCTTTCTAGTTGATTCAGTAGCTCGGGACTGTCGCATACCCAGTATTCGCACTGTGGTACCCGAACAGCTCCAATACAGGATATATCCTTAATGCAATATGGTTTTTTATTTGACTATATTTTTCTGCCGTTTCAAGGAAACCGACCAACCTACCTTATTCTTGCCTCCAAGTGAAGTTGGTATGTAATTTACATCAATCTCTTCTGTTAAGGCTTTCAAAAAATTGCCGTCATGGAGGCGAAATTTATCGGAAAAACCCGTAGGCATCATTGTCCTGGCGACATTGTATGGCACATAAATCCATTTTGCGATGTTCACTATGTCAACTGGAGTGACCTTGAATCGAAAGATCAATGATGGTATTCGTTCATGTAGTGTAACATAAGGGTGTTATATACTTTGCTTACCAGTTCCGGATAATTGTCGTAGTGAAAAAGCTGGGAATAATATGCCAATGTTCCACTACTAACAAAAATCATTGTAAATGGATTGATTTCATAGCCGCTCATATCGACAATGTGTCGTATTGAGCTGAGTCGTCCCGTTTTCTCCTCCTGAAACTTTTCTTTAAAGTGAAATTTGAGTTCCTGTTTTTTATGAGATTGGCAGAAATCACCTGTTCCATGACCCTGCGTAGCATATATTCGAACTGCCAAAATTGATATTTACATGCTTGCGAAGTTTGCAGTGCGTGAGCTATACTCTGAAAATGGGAAGTTGTTCGGTTTTTCTTTCGTTGGTCATTTTGTGACTAATGTCAAGTTTCGTGAGATATAATGAATACTGTGTGGGTTATCTAGCAAAGTTTGTAGTCAGCATACCTCTACACTGATTGTGGCGTATTCAATATACCAAAGCAGCCTATTTTGTCTATCATGAAGAGTTGTTAGAATTTCTCCTTTTGGCATCAGCTTTTTTTGGAATATTGGATTCTCATCGAAGCTCTTCACAGGTTCATTATCCTGTAAGTATAAAAATAATACAGTCTACAACTCAAAAGACCGATTTTCTATAAACTTCGGTGTAAATAGTTGACATGTTTATTTATATGGTCTTATGTACTGATCTTGTTGAGCTCATGCGAGGTTGGTATAAGTTTTCGCTGTCGTTGTTGCTGTTGTTGGTGTTTCTGGTTGATGGCTGACGTTGCGGCGATTTCTCCTTCCTCAGAGCCATACCGTTACAATTGGGTCTTAATCTTACGATGTCACGGCTCTGAAGAAGTCGAAATCGCTGAAACATCAGCCGTCGACCAACAACAACAACGGCAACGACAATAACAACAACAACAACAACAACAACAACAACAATGACAACGACAACGACAACTTGTACCAACCTCGCATCAGCTCAACATACATATAAATACAGTCTAAGTTAAATGTTTATTCAGTGATATCAAAAATCCGTCCGCCTTTCTGATGCAACTGGGTTTCGTCTATTTACGAAATTGGATTATTAATTTTCAATTTCAGACAATACAGATTTAATTACTATACCAAGTAGTTCGCTTTTACATCGAATTTATTCGTTCTTGACGCAAACGTTTTAACATAATGCTTTTGTGTTGACCTACTAAATCCAGGGCTTTTCGAGTCCTTAGGTGATTGTTCAGTGAACGTGCAGATGCTTCGATTATGTCTTTCTCCTTCTTGTGCAGTCTTTCAGCTGCCATCACAAAACGGTATATGTTAAAGTCGGTGTCAAACTAAACGGTTATACCTTTAATGATACTTTCCACAACTGCATGAATGTATTAATCTTCTTTGAAAAACTTTAGAAATGGAAGGTACCGTACAATTTCGCTTATTGGTTGCGTGATTCTTAAGCGTACTTCATTGACGATTCTTTTTGATAGATCGCTAAGAGGTTCCCCAAACGACGTCGAGAAGCCTCGTGTCATTCTTCGCACACAAAATATTGAAAAAAAAAATGCTCCAATTTGCTAATATAACAGAGTAGTTTAGAAGAAATTAAACCATATGGGCTGAGTATCGGGTAAAACACAACTATTACAGAGGTATTAGTGGTTACGATTGCATGACCTGGTTTCGTTTGTTCCTCCCATCCATTCCGCCCAATCGCCGATGTTCGCGCTCATGTCTCATGAGATGGACACCATGCACTCAGATCCGAGAATGTGTACACTTAGTGTGAATGAAAGAAAGCAGCCGGTTTCTCACTTCTCGATGGCACACTATCAAAGTTGAATGTGTCTTCGTCGATTATTAAACTGTTAGAATTGTTATGTTTATTCTTTCAAACAGTCTTTCTGGAATAGTAAGAAGCATCTGGGAGTTGATTTCACTCTTCTGCAGTGGCCAGACTCGTTCAGACTTTATAAATTTTTTGGTGAGCCTTACATAAGGTACAAGGTTTGGCTCAACGACTTATCAACGATATAGCAAATAATTTTATTCATTTAATGAGCATGAAGATGTGTAATGTTAAATGAAGTATACATCTTTTCGAAATTTTTAGAATGAACGACTGCAAGTGCTCAACGAATTACTAGAACCCAATTCCGATCTCTTCCTTATCGCGGCCAAGGCCAGCGAGAGCCTGTCACTGGCTGATTTGCGGCGGTTAGCAACAAGAATTCAGATCGAAGCGAAAATACGAGGTCTTATTTATTAAATGAATCCAACATTTATTGTAGGCAAATAGGTACAGAGTGAGTTCTTATTCGTAACTCCAGTACCACGCAAGGATTCAGCTTCCATTTGTTAATAGGGATGGTGGGGGAGCGTGTGATGCAGTGGTTGGAGGCGCCCTGCAACACTCACATAGGATCGATCTCCTGTAGTTCACTAAGCTCTCTATCTCTCCGGGGTCGGCAAATTGGTACCAGACTTGTCTGGGAGAATAGTAGCAGTGGCTCGATATATTAGCAGGCCACCACGAATCATTGTATAGACCAGATATGCATTCAGTTACCTCCAACGGTGCTTAATGAAGTCTAATGCATGGCGCATCCACCGGGGACAGATGAAAACCGAGAGCTTTATCTTTTATCCTTAAGTAGACGATGGCGAATTGCAAATTTAGTCCTTCCGTTGAGGATAACAACTGCTTTTTTCCATCTATTGCTCACGTATTATAAGTCACAGTCGTATCTGGTTTTTTAAAAGTTCTATTGGTGGGTGATGGAATAGCAACGCAACGTCATATCTCTTTGGGATAATTTTTTTTGAGGATCTATACTTTATCTATCAATAAATTGTTTGGTTATAAAACTCGGTTAACAGCTAACTTGTTTTGAACATCTTGTATTTAAATTACAAGTCGATCCTCATCGTCGTTGTCAAATGCTAATTTTGAGCTTTTCAATAATTCATCATACGTTTTTCTATGTACTAGAAAGATCCGCATCCGAATTGATTACTTCATTCGGATGAGGTTTAAATGTTAGATTGAAATGTTTAGTGTAAGTGACAACAACGAGAGAACTGTTTAAGAATGAACTTTTTCCTTATAAGGCTTTGATATTTATTAAATGTTTTCCAGTTTTTTTCAGTGACGATAGCCGTGGTTTTTCAGCGCCATTGTCATATATCCTGAAATGTGATATCGACGCTGCCCTTTTGCATTCTCGTTCTGCAGACTATTTATCCATAAAGTCAGCAAATGAAGTAAAACTATCGCTTGAAGATGTTGGAGGTATGGAGGAAGAAAAACGTACTCTGTTGGAGGTTTTGATATGGCCCTTCAAGGTCAGTTACAAATCCCGTCAGTGTCTTGTCGCATTTCTAGGCTTCATCTTTCTGTTCCTTCTGTTGGAAGAGTTTAGAATGTGTTTCATTTTTTCTTTTGTTCATTGAAGAAATACTGATGGGAAAGGAGTCAAAAATAAATGATTTTTTGGGTAGAAAAAGCTGAATTGCTGAGTATTAGAAACTATATGGAAATGAATATTTGGAGAAGAAATGATGTGTTTGTTATGATGTGTGAACAGAAAATGTTTATTTACACCTATATTCTGTAGATTGAAGGTGTTCCATTTTTTCCAGGAGTACACGAGCATTTGGATGTTTCTTGCAATTCTTTTTTGTGTTCGAAAATTCGAAAAAATCGAATAAAAATTACCATATTTTCTCTAGTGGGAAATGGTAGTTACTCAATGTTGTTTCTACAAAGAAGAAATCTAAAGCCTTAGTTTTTTTTTCTTATCGTTATAAGCTTAGAGGCAGTGCTTGTGATGTATTTTCGTGATCATTAAGTGAACTGAATTGTTCGTCAAATCGTTCGCTAGTCGTTTTTCGAACATCCCAGGTTGTCAGCGGCTCACCAAGAGAGCTTGTGAACTCTGACCACACTTTATTGTACTTTGTTACATTAAAACAGCACTAGAGGAGAATTTCTAATTGCAGTATCATGAAGTGTTTCAATCGTATGGCATGCGTCTAGGGAAGGGAGTGCTATTGCATGGACCGAGTGGTTGCGGAAAAACTCTTCTGGCTAAAGCAGTCGCTGCTTATTCGAACTTCAGCTCAATTTTTGTCAAGGTAAATGTCAATGTGGTCAATGGATAATAGAGATTCATTATTTATATTTGCCAGTTTAAAATGTCACTATAATGGTATGATTTGAAACCAAACTACCGTCTAAGTAACATACTTGTGGATTTCATAAAGAAAAAAACTGCCACCTTCGGTACCAGTGTTTTGTACTATTTTTGAGGAGAGCTTCCGTTTTATTAAGCAAGGTAAGCGAAGTGAACCAGCTGTATTTTCATTTCATAGCAGTAGCTGTATAAATACGTGATTTATGATGTTTTGTTCCTCCTGAACACTCTTGCGTGATTTTTAAAGTTTCTCTTCCGCTAAATTTCTTTTTTATTGGGATTCAGTGTTGAGAGTCTTTTTTCTTTAACCTGGTACTCTGTCTTTCTAATGTCTTTAGACATTTAATTTGAACAGTCAATCTCATCATTGCGAAATGTGTAATGAAAGGGGAAATCAAAGAGTAAACTGAGGTGAAGATATTGAATTTGGTTTCACTCATAGTCATCAAGAGGACGTGCACATTTAGATGTTTTGAGTTTGTGTAACTGCAGTAGAAAGGGTCAAATAGGAATCGTTCTGTGTTGATCAACCCCTTAATGATGCGCCGTATATTCGAAGCTTATCAATGGGTCAGTGTTACTGTTCTGCGAGACAAATCAGGTACCAATCCACCAATCCCGGACCTATGGAAGGTTTGGTGAGCCTGGAGTTCGGGGAAGAATCAACGACTGGCACAATGTGTATTCCTGGGAACCTCTAATGATTGCCCTAATCCGCATACATGATTGTATTATACCAGCTTAATTGGACAGTGATCGAGATTTCATGGTTTAGGTAATTGTTAAAGTAACTTCAAATAGAGAATTCTTAAGCACTTTATTTTATCGGCCGCTAATTTTGATTGCATTCAAGGTAGACAGTGAAGATGAAGGAGTCAATCTTTGTACTTGATGCATGGATCAAAAGTGTGTATCGGCAGTGATGCACCCACCACACGGCATGGAGGCCATTTGTCAGTCTCTTTTAAAGGCGAACCACGTTATTTTAAGCCAATCATTGTGCAATGGCGATACAGCTGTTTCGCCGAGGGGCCACCATAGTAAGGGAATACTACAAGGATAGAAAATGTCACCAAAATTGTTTAGTGAAGCATTGCAGTAGTGTATATAGTCAATCAATTGCAAAGGCAGCAAGATACGTGGTGGTAGTTGATGCTTCTCTCGTGGTGTGAAGGAGAACAAATTTCTTTATGAATTATGGATGGAGGGATTACGTTCTACATATACCTGTTTCGCTCAAGTATACATATATATATATGTATATATATATATATATACATATATGTATAATATGTATATAACGGCTTATAGGAAACCTGTAAAAACAAAGAGACCCATGCGTTCCCACCACGCCTTGAACAAGTACTATTGGCTGTATTGCAGCTTCAGATCTTCGTGTTCACTTGTTTCATACAACAGTTCTTTCTTTTCTATATCATGCATCACTTATGGCTTATAATTGGTCCACATTGAAGAGCTTGACACAGTGTAAAAGACACTCGATCGATTTCTTCTGGAAGTAGAGTGGCGCAATTATCAGCAAACCTTTCTCCGCTTGTTTAGATGTCAGAAGAATTTCATACCTTTAGTAGGCAACGTAATATATCACAAAACGTAAGCATCGATGGGCCAATTCATTAATGAGATTAATAGGTGTGAAGAACGCTGTGAACTCCGGAGGATTCAAAACGACCTCGATGGAAATCTCCTGTGAGATGAGCTGATGTGTTTATTGTAAGCGTAGTCTAACTGTTTTGAACTTTCAATTGCCGAAGCTGCACACATGAACTCGACCACATGTCTGGTTGACAGCTGCAAGGCAACGAAAATAATCCAAGTGTTGGGGCTCTTGCGACATGTGGTGAAGTTCGTCCAAACATCTCTTTGGATCGTGGTTAACTATCTCGTTTTCTAGATTACTAATAAATCATAGTGTAGTTCTTTATAACAAAACTCGAATTCACATTGTTTAATACATGTAAACTTGTGGGCGGAAAATCGAGCAAAATTATAGGAAGGAGAACTCCTTACGAGACAGAGTTGTCTCACTTTCTAAAACAAGTGAAACTTAATAGGTAGTTGTTCTTGACATATATCGGCAAATTAGTGTATTCATACACCTTGGGCGCGTGTGGCGCAGTGTTCGGAGGCGCCCGCGGCACACATGGGGTCGATACCCGCGCCCACGACCCACCAAGCCTTCCATCTCTCCTGGGTCGGCGAATCGATACAAGACTTGTCTGGGAGGATGGCAGCACTGGCTCGGTACATTGGTAGGCCACGGCGAACCATTCTAAAGGCCAGATATGCATCCATTCGTCTCCAACGATGCTCAATGAAGTTGAATGTATGACGCATCCTTCAAGGATTGATCAACTCCAGAAGCTCTATCCTCTATCTTTTATATAAGCGGGAATGCTGCCTGACGTAATCATATGTGTTGATCCTAAGAACTTTTTTTTTTATTACATCGATTGCCTCGATTTACTCGCATGTTTTAAAGTAAACCGAGGGAAAGAAGCTTGCGGTAATTTTCAAGCGAAGCCAGAGATATGTGCTCCTAGACGAGAAATTCTCGTTTTAAATTCCATAGCTTTAACTTCTATAGCATGATTTTCTCAAGTATTGCAACTAATTACATAAAGCTGATGGAGATTTCGTGCAAGTTTTCCGTCGCATTTTCAAAACATTAGGAGTACCTATTTTTAAGTGCTGATAACGACTGCTGTAAATCTTTGGAGTGCGCTCTTTTCCCCTAGCTCCTTTTTTGCAAGTAAGCGTCCATCAATCTACTCTTGCGATAGAACTAGCGATTCACGTGAGCCCATGATTAAATCTGTAGCAGTGTTTAGCATTTCGTGTAGCTTAGATTTGTATGTTCATTCAGGGACCTGAGCTTCTGTCTAAGTATATCGGAGCAAGTGAAGAAAACGTTCGGAATGTGTTTGAAAGGTGAGATGAAGATTGTGAATAGGCATCCTACTTATGGCCTCATTTCCAGTGTTAGTTACAGTGGAGTACGATCCGAAATATGTCTGCTAAACACAATATTACTTCTTGTGTATATCTGTTTCATGTTGTTTGGCACACATTTCTAATTACGGCTTACGCTTTTGGTTGACGAAAATTGCTTCAAAGTTCTTTGTTCTATTCTGAACTTTACATAATAAAGTAAAAAACCTGTATTATGCGGGAGAAGGTGTTAATTTTTGTTGGAAGCACATTTTACATTCCTAGAAAAATAGTTTCGTTTCATAACACTCGTTTCTTTTTCAAACTGATAGCTTGTGTTCCCACTTCTACAAAATAGCGCCTACAATAGCGTAAAATAGACATTATAAAGGATTTGAAAAGTTGAATGAAAAAGCAATAAAAGTCCATCTTAGTTTGAGCCTGTATTTCACACCCTCCCAACGGTTTACGGCCTCATCGTGGCTGAGCGGTGTTCCTGGGTGTCGGGCTGCGATGTACAGGGGGTTGATTCATTCCCAGTAGCGCCTCCCAAACTGAGAAGGAGTCCGGGGTTTCATTAGGAAGCCCAACAAAGAGTAAACCGATACCAGGATCGACCACCGTTCAGGTATGAAGCTAGTCACATGGTGGCAAATCTCCTGTTCCACAAGAGTGGCAACTGCCTGCGGTTGTGACGACCTGGGGCGAACTTTAGCTGGGCTGACTTCATCGCTCCAGTGAAATACAATGGCTAAACCAACAAAACTTCGAGAAATGGGGATTATATTGGGCCCGCACAACTAGTGAGGACGGGCCGTCCGAGTATCCAAGTAAGTACATCACACCATGTCGCCTCACCACGTACTCATTAGGTTTTCCACTTATATTGCCTGTTAGTTGTTCGGATTCAAAAGCAGAACAATAGTGTTCTTGGAATTTTTAAATCCTGTAAGGATATGCTGCTACATCAATTTTCATTTATACACCCAGGGAAGATGAATCGTTTCATGGTGGTTTGTACGTATAGAACGATAATGATGTCAATATTTTATCCTCTACGAGAGCTTGCACTAGCAGTTTACCGGTCTCACTGTGGTGAAAGAGTTGCGACTTATCCTTTCAAGGTGGAACTTCTACTTGCGTGCGCTTAATTGCGTTGACCTAATCGTCGTTGCGTTAGAACTTATTTCCCTTGTAGTGAAACTCGAAATGGGAACTGTCCAACTTAACAATAATGTAACTATTAGTAGCTATATATTAAAATAACACCTACTGGGTGTAATCGGTTACTCCCTAATATTCTGTTAGGGGACGAAGGTTTAGTAGGTTTCAAGAAAGATGCCGGATCCCAATAGAAGTGCATTTGCTGTTTTTTGAATTTGGTCTAATCTAAGCTTCTGATAGTAGTTAAAACTGTTCCGTTGTTTTTTAAGAAATAGCCAATAGTTACGTTATCTCTCAGCTGAATTTTGTTCAATGAAATTTGTCTGTGAGAAACACTTAATCGTTTTCTTTTCGCACTTTGATCCGTCTCAGGGCACGTGCATCTGCTCCGTGTATCATTATTTTTGACGAATTGGATTCGTTGGCACCGCAGCGAGGGTCCGATAGCACTGGAGTGACTGATCGTGTTGTCAATCAATTGCTTACTGAGATGGATGGTGCTGAAGGACTGCAGGGTTTGCAGAAATGCTTTCCATAACCAATCTTTCCATATCTATTTAGTTCTTCATCTTACAGGTGTTTTCGTGATTGGATGTTCAAGTAGAATCGATCTCATAGATTCTGCCTTACTGCGCCCCGGACGTTTCGATCATCTTCTGGAATGCCATATTCCAAATAAGGTAGTCCGTTGTTTTCCTCGATTTCTGATGGCTTTTCACTCGTTCAATAATTTTGTCTGCTTTGAAACTAAAAGTTTAGTAATGAAAAAGGCTCATGGTCGCAGTTATCGTTGTTGACAACGTAAGAGTGTTTTAAAATATTCCTTTTTGTCTATAATGCTGAAATATTTACAAAACTCCGGACTGCAGGTATCCGCGGTGGGGAACGAACGCGCTATTGTCCTTTCCGGGGGTTAACGCGTTCACAACCATACCATGCGGGTTCTCCGTTTCACCTTTCTGTCAGCTAGTTTCCTATCTACCATTGCCTCCAGCAAGGACCTGTCAGCAGGGTTGATCTGGGAAGCCTAAATCGGCGTTGAAACCAATTAAGCTGAGGCTATAGTTGAAATGTTAATCACAATGTTGACTTTTCTATTTGTTGTCTATTACAACTCTTTACGGCAGGGTATTAGGTGGAATACAATCGTAATGATTGAAAAACTCTTGGTGTTGCTGGTGGCACTGCTAAAATATAAAAAGGGTAAAGTTCTCAGCGTTGGTCAATCATTGATGGATGCGCCGTGCATTCGACTTAATTAAGATTCGTTTGGAGACGATTGAATGTATATCTGGCCTTTACAATGACTCGCGGTGGCCTACCGGTGTATCGAACCAGTGCTGCTATACTCACAGACAGGTCTGCTACCAATTCGCCAACCCCGGATGGATGGAAGGCTTGGTGGGCTATAGGCGCTGGGATCGATTTCACGTGTGTGTTGTAGAGCGCCTCCAACCACTGCGCCACACACGCCGTTGGCACTGGTAAAACTGCTAAATAAAAAACTAGCTGTGAGACAGGCGAAACGAAGGACCCGCATGGTGTGGTGGTGAACACGTTAGACCCCCGGAAGAGTAATACAGCCTTTGTTGCCCAGCGCTGACTGTTTCCACTATTTCTTTGTGTTTAAATGAATTTCCAACGCTGGCTTATATACTTTAAGATATATCAACGATTTAGTATGTATTAAGATTTTTCTGTATGTGATATAAATTCGTCTTTATCTAATTCCAGCAGGAACGCAGCGAAATTCTTGGAATTGTTTTACGATATGTAAATTATGATCCCAGAATATCTGTTCTTGATTGGGCTACACGTACAGATGGTTGGACTGGAGCTGATTTGAAGGCCTTGATTACAAATGCTCACTTCAATGCAACGAGGAATTCGCCAAATGGTATGTGTGGACATAGTGAAATGGAAATAAAGCTTTCGGCGTTGTTCAATCCCTGAAGGATGCGCCATGCATTCGATTTCACTAAGCATCGTTGGTGGTGATTGCATGCATATCTGGCCTTTACAATGACTCGCGGTGGCCTATCGATGTATTGAGTCAGTGCTGTTATACTTCCAGACATGTCTGATACCAATTTGCCGACCCCGGAGGGATGGATGTGCCTTGGTGGGCTTGGGGCTATGGATAGAACTCTATATTGCCTAATCGTAAACCACCACCCCACCACACGACTGCTGTTTATAGAAATGAATTTTGTTTATTCGAATCAAAGACGTCATCCTGTTAATCGTTTCTTGTTTTATGTTCAGATTTGCTGCACGATGAAGCAGTTATCACAAACGAGAATATTGAAGCAGTTTTTGAAGAGTCTCTTCCTCGACATTGGATTAATGCGAAACAAGAGTTTCGAGTCGGAGAGAAAGTTACTTTAGCCTAAGCTGAAGTTTAAGTCTTTTTTTACGTCAAATCTTTATTTTGAATGGAGTAGGTTTTAATATAGTGTTCTTTTAGATAAGTAACAATAATACTGATTGTTCCTTCTAAAGGAAAAATTGGTATAGTTTTACAGATAGCTTTCGAGATTTTGCAAACATTTCATTTGTAGGTACTCATAGTTATGATCGATTTTCGTTGTTTTCAATAAAGCCCACTACAACGCCATTTTGTCTTGATGAATCCACATGTAAGATCGAAGTTATTTCGTTATTGATGAAAGCATTATCTTCGTAGCATCAATTATTCTGCCTTTCTGCGGTATGGTAGAGAGTGGTATGGTGGTCACCTTAACACGCAAGAACGCCTAATTCTTCGTCGATCACAGAATTAGTCAGTGCGCAGACACACACGAGTCGTGTGGCTGATTTTGGCAGGAATGGTGTAACAGGTGATAAATTAAAGAGTGAAGCACCTGGCGTTGATCAATCCCTGGGAGATGTGCCATGCATTCAACTTCATTTAGCATCGTTGGAGGCGATTGAATGCATATCTGGCCTTTACAATGACTCGCAATGGCCTACCGATGTGTCGAGCCAGTGTTGCTATTCTGTCTGATATCAATTTGACGACCCCAGAGGAATGGAAGGCTTGATGGGTTATTGGTGCGGGGACCGATCCCATGTGGACAGGGCGCCTCCGACCACTGCGCTACACATGCCTACGGTTACTAATGAGAAGCTATGTAACTTGTAATATTTTGATAGTAGTAGCATCGGTATTACTTCAATGTAATAGTTTCATGAAGTTGTTGTAAGGGAAAGAACACTGCTCTTCATGATTTCCACATCATAAGTATGGTATGAATGAAATCTTTGCTATTACATGTTTTTGTTGACGACATTGGAATGTCAAAGTGAGAGCCACTCATTGCTTCTTATTCCTGTTCTCCACCGTTGACCATCTCTAATCAACGTGTTGGGAAACAACTGTTGCCTCGAAAATCTGAACTCTTCAAGCTAGCAGTGCTTGTAGTGCTTGCTGAAGATAGCAGTACTTGTAGTGCTTCTTTAGGATAATGTGTAGGATTCCTAGTAAGTGGAAGAAACAATGAACGGAGTAAATTGAACGAAAACAACAGAAAAAAGTGGTTAGGAGACGAGAGTAGTTCGGTGACATAGGATCCTCGTTTGAATCGCATCTGTAGCCCATTGAAGTTCGTAAGCAGCAGAAGTGGAGAGTAACGGAAGTTGGTTTTGAATGCAGTTTAGGGAAAGAACTGGGTATTCGTCATGAAGCTGAGGTATTCGCGAAACTTCGGACCACTGATATGTGTGGTGGGAACCGAACACGCTATTACCTTTTCCGGCAGCTATTCGCCAACACACCACACGAGTCTTTCGTTCTGCCTTTCTCTCAGCGTTGTTATTAGGGTGATTGCTGACAGCACCTATAGGTTAATAACGTGGCTGAAAGAAACGTGAAATGAAGGACTCGCATGGTGTGGTGGTGACCGCATTACTCCACGGTTAGGGTAGTAGCGTGTTCGGTCCACACCTCTGACACAAGCGGTCCGGAGTTTTGCAAATATCTCAGCATCATTATGGTTATATTTCCCATAGTACCCTACCGTTAAAAAAGAGTAGGCGGTAAATAGAAAGTGACGAGTGGGCATTAATTCGAAAAAGGAAACATTTAGTGGTACGCTACGGTGTTATTTCGTGCTCGAAAGTGAAAGGCTGGTTCGAAGGCGCCAAAGCGCTGAGTTTGAGTGAGGCGTTGTGTCAGATTTGTTGATCCTGGAGACAAGGTTCAAGATTTTCCTCACCGTTCGCAGTGGGTGCAGGTAAGTTGGTTTCTATTGATGTCTCGTCTATGTGCTGCGAACTTCATTTATTCAGTTTGTTCCGGCATTTGACGTGCTTTCGAAGTCATTCGTTCTTTTTTCGGCTAAATCGCCTAAGTCTTCCTCGAGTGTGGATGTCGTCGACTAAAGAAAATATGAACGGAGTGAAATGGTCGCTGAATACAAGGTATGTTGTCAGGAGTGGTCCTTCTTAGTACTGTTGCTTCTTAGTTTATGTATTTAGTCTTCTTCACTTCGCTGTATTTGCTAGGAATTCATAAGCGAAGCTCATTTTAGAGTGCCCTATCTGCAGTTGACCGAAACTCTTGCGAAAATTGAAAACGAGAGCAAACGGTTGAGTAATCTGCTCATTTTCTACACTTTTTAAAATATTTTATTGTTATGGAGTGGAATCTTATAATGCTGTTTCACTGTCCAACTTATTAGGCTTAAAATTGTCGGAGTGCTCGCTGATTTCTTCACAAAGGTGATCGAATATTCCCCGGATGACTTGTTGAGCTGTGTTTACCTGTGTGTGAATCAGTTGGGACCTGCGTATGAAGGTCTGGAGCTTGGAATTGCCGAACACACAATAATTAAGGTGATTTCATTCTTTGTGTAACATATACAGAGTTGGATCTCATTTGTTTAGGCAGTTGCACAAGCCACGGGTAGGACAGTGGAGAAAATCAAAGATGATTTGCAGAAAAAGGGCGATTTAGGTTGAGTTTTCTTCTTCTCATTCTCTCATTCGTGTCATACTTTCGCAATGGGTTCATATCTTCCTGGCTTTACATCGTTTACCATTCTCACTGTACCCATGTTCTGTTTCACTTGGATAGCCGGCTACAATATTCAGGGATAGTAGCGCAACAGTCTCGCCAGAATCAAAGATCATTGTGCGGTGCATTCGGTTATCGTCCAAAACCGCACACTGTGCAGTCTGTCTTTGACAAACTGACCGACATTGCGAAGCTCACTGGTGCCTCGGTTTGTTTTAAAGCCGATCGATTTGCATTTTAAGTTTAGTGTTTGCTTGATGAAATCCATGTTCCTCTGCGACAGTTAATTTCAGTCAATGAATAAGAAAGTTGAGCTCATCAAAGGTCTTATCGTCGACTGTCATGGGTCGGAGACGCGTTTCCTTGTTCGATCGCTTGGAGGAAAACTTAGAATTGGCCTTGCAGAACAAAGTGTGTTGGTTGCCTTAGCAAACGCCTTAACTTCACATTACGTCAAGAAACGGGGTTTGTTTACCCACTTTTTGAGCTAGAAAGAAGTATTTTTTAATGCCAGTTCCTGTTGCACTAAGGTCTTCAACTTTCCTCGTCCAAGCTAGAGGAGCTTAGAAGCGAGCACGTCGTTCTCCTTAAAACGACGTATTGGTTGGTCACTTAGCTCATTTCTTTTTTATTAGGCCAATGCAGAAACAGTGCCGTTGATTATGAATGAGAAATTAACATCCTGTAACCCTACTTAGGCCCATTTGTTCAGAATGGGAATCGCTGGCATCTGCATGTTTTTATTAATTAGACACAAGCTCAGCCATTCCATTTGCTAGGTTGATGAGGTTTGGTGAATGTGTAAGGTCAGCTGGCGTTTTGTATCTCCATCGTTTCAACTTTTGTAGTGTTGGGTGTGCAGCGTTCGAACATCATCGCTCAACAGAATTTGTGAGCAGTCGCGATAGTAGCTGTTGCATTTTTTTTTCTGAAGGATTTTATCGATATTCTGTAGATTATTTCGCTGCTGTAGTGCTTTTCGGGACTCAAGAAATTATAGAGAGGGGCTCCAGAGGCCAACCAGCAGTTGTCATAAACGTCCTTCGTGGAATGTTTGGTTTTGGGAAGTGTTTAGCAGCTTCATCTCTCTATAACCAAGGCCAAAATATCGTTCACCTCCATTCTGTCTGAACTGTTCCTGTATCTCCAGTCTACCTAAATTTTTCAGCTTTCTGCTGTCTTCCGAAAACGTATTACTGTAGAATGGTTGGCGTCTCGTTCATCTGTACCATTTCGTATACAATAATACCAGAAGGGTAGTTTTTGATTACGGAATTGTGATCTTCCTAACCTGCTTTTTCATCATGTTTCATAGCTCTGACACAGAATCTTCTCCCAACGGGTTACTGCCTCATCGTAACTGGGAGGTGTTTCTGGGTATCGGGCGGTGGGCGATATACAGCGAGAGGATTCATCTCCCTGACAGGGTCCTCATAGCTGAGAAGGAATCTGGCGTTTCCATCAGGCAACCCAGCTAGGAGTAAACGAATACCAGGATTAGTCACCGTAATTAGTTGCATGGTGGCAAATCTCCCTCTGATCCACAGGGACGGCAACTGCCTGTGGTGGTGACGACCTGGGGCAGACTTTAGACTGGCTGATCCCGGGACACCGGGGAACCACAGTGGCTAAATCAGCAAAACTCCGAAAAAATGAAAATTATACTGGGGCTGGTACAATCAGTGAAGACGAGCATAGAAGTATCCAAGTAGGTAAGATACAGAATCTCTCGAAGCTCATGAAGCGTGCACACTGTTAGTCTGCTGGCCCTTGCTTTGCTTCCATTGCATTATGTCTTGGTGCGAGTTCATGAACGAAACAATGCGAACGTTTTAAACTTAAATTGCGAATTAACTATTAAAGACAAAATGCATGGTAAGTAGTTGACCAATGAATAAGCTTTGAAATCCTATTCTTGAGCGACGAAAACAAGAAATAATTGTTGAAAAGCTTGTTTGTAGAGTTTATAACGATAGAAATGGCGAGTGTTTTTGCATGGAGCGTTTATGTATGTATGTAATCATCCATTCCTTTTTTCAGTGTTTGTCCAAACTATGGGAGGATAATTGCCGTTGCACTCTCTGAAGATATAGAGAGTTTAAGTGAACAGTGCAAGATTACACCAGGTTCGTCCTCAATATTCTACCATCACTGTGCTGTATCATCACAGTTTTTGTAGGTGTTCCATTGAGACCTATGCTAGCCCATCCAACAAAGGGAATTGGTGAAATCATGCGAAGATTTGGGGATGCTGAATTCGCGTGTGAATGGAAATATGATGGAGAACGAGGGCAGGTGTGGGGTTGCCAGTTCTTCTCGATACGTTTTCTTTGAACTACTTTTATACTGTTGTCAGCTTTTATTTACTGCCTACTGATTTTTAATTTCAGGGTGTTGTGTGAAATACAACCATAATGTTACTGAAATATTTGCAAAACTACGGGTTGCTGGTTTCTGCGATGAGGACCGAATACGCTGTTACCTCGAGGGCTAACGCGTTAACCACTACACCATGCGAGTTCTTCGTTTCGCCTCTCTCTCAGCCGTATTACTGACCTTTGGGGGCTATCAGCAATCACCCATCAACTGGATTGTCAATAACACTGCTGAAAGCGAAGCGAAGTACTCGTATGGTGTGGTTGTGATTGCGTTAGCTCCTGGAAAGGGTAATTGCGTGTTCGGTCTCCACCGCAGACACCAGTGGCTTGGAGTTTTGCAAATATCTCGGTACTTTATAGTTAAACTTCTATACTGTTCCTTTCACTTTTACAGATACACATGGAAGAATCAGGTGTCGTTCATATTTATAGTCGCAATCAAGAAAATAGCACATCTAAGTACCCAGATATCATCGATAGGGTAATTTTTGTGAAATATCGTTGTTTATTTTGTGTAAATTTATGGGAAATTGATCTCTGATTTTTAGTCGGAGCGTGTGGTGCAGTGGTCAGAGGCGCCCTGCAATACACATGGGGTCGGTTCCCACGCCCAAAGCTCACTAAGCTTTACTTCCCTCCGGGGTCGGCAAGTTCGTACCAGACTTGTTGGGAGAGTAGTAGCAGTGGCTCTTTACATCGGTAGGCTACGGCGAGTCATTGTAAAGACCAAATATGCATTCAATCACCTCCAAACGATACTTAATGAAGTCGAAAGCATGGCGCATCCCTAAGAGATTGGTCAGCACAGCGAGCTTTATCCTTTATACTTTCGTGTTTTAGTCTTTTTTTTTTTTCATATAGAACGTCTAGGTGCGGGAATGTGCAGATTCTATTGTTTCATCGTTCATTGCGGATGCAGAGATCGTTGCTTGGGATGAGCATGCGAAATCTATTCTGCCTTTTCAAGTTCTGACCACCAGAAAACGGAAGGTTGTTCCATTGTACCACTAACATATTCCAAGTTTGGTGCAATATATTGTTTATCTTTAAGAATGCTGGAGACTCTGAGATCAAAGTGAAAGTTTGCGTTTTTCTTTTTGATTTGCTTTATCTCAATGGTGAACCACTTGTAACGAAATGCTTTCGAGAACGACGTTCTATTCTTCATCGATATTTTACGGTAAGTGTTTCACATATTCTGTAGTCATATGTAGTTAATCGTGCTAAAAGAAGTACCACGTGTTATAATGATACTTTCAGAAATTGTAAGAGATGTTTTTAACTTCAGAGTGTTGAAGGACACTTTGGTTTCGCAGAACACCTAGATTCCACCGACACAGATGAAATAAATGAATTTCTCGAAGAAGCCATCAAGGTTTTCCTAGCATTCCATTGGCTTTGAATTCAAACACGATATTTCTTTTGCGATGATTAGAATATTTTGTCAGTAAACTGCCTGTTTCTGTATTACTCTAATCATTTGTTGTACCAGGGCAACTGTGAAGGATTGATGGTGAAAACACTGGATTTAAATGCTACTTACGAAATTGCTAAGAGATCGCACAACTGGTTGAAACTAAAGAAGGACTATCTTGATAGCGTAGGGGATACTTTGGACCTTGTTGTCATCGGCGCTTATTTTGGAACTGGTTGGTTTCGTGCGTACTAAAGTGTATTGAACTTTCTAGCGACTTTGTCATGTTTTTCTAGGAAAACGTACTGGAGTATTCGGTGGGTACCTTCTGGCATGTTGGGATCCAGATTCAGAAGAATACCAGAGTATTTGTAAGGCACGTAGCTTGATTTTTAATGTGATGTTTTGTGAAATGTTTGCTTTTACGTGCTACATTACAAAACACATTCGATCTAACCGTCTCCTCTGACATTGGAGAGAAAATGCTAGACCACTAGGGCCATGGTTTATCTGTGATCAGAACTTTGACCATTGAGTCAACTCTCGAAAAATTCATTGAGAAGTCGATTTTCTAAGTACGTTATACGTTGCCGAAATCAAAGTTTCGTACATATATGATGCCATAATTAACAGAATGGTATATCTATCGCAAGGGAGTGTGTGGTACAGTTGTCGGAGGTGCCCTCCAACACGTGGCATCGTTATTCGCATCCCTGGCCCACAAAGCCTTCCACCCCTCCGGAGTCGGCAAATTGGTACCAGACTTGTCTGGTTGGATAGCAGCATTGGCTCGATAAATCGATAGGCCACCGCGAGTCATTGTGAATGCCAGATATCCATTAAATCACGTTCAGAGATGCTTAATGAAGTCGAATGCATTGTGCATCCCTTAGAGATTGATGAATGCCGAATACTTTATCCTTTTTACGCATATCACAGTAAGGGATCCAATATTTAGTTCAGTTATACTTTTTTATAGATTGGAACTGGATTTAGCGATGAAGACCTAAAGTTACATCACGATCTATTGCTGCGCTTCCAGATTGATTATGTAGGTGAAGCTATAGCTGTTTACATCTCTATTAGCGTTGTTCCATCGAGCTTATTGCACTTCTTCTATTGTATTTTAGGCTCGACCTTACTATGCTTTCGACGATTCTATGAAACCTGATGTGTGGTTCGATCCTCAAGTAATTTTCGAGGTGATCTCATGGTTTTTCTTTTCTAAATTTTCGTCACCGTCGTTGCAAATGTTCAGGTAAAATGTGCTGACTTGTCTATATCTCCACGTCACCTTGCTGCAAAGGGCTTGGTTGAGAGCGATAAAGGAATTTCGTTGAGATTTCCGCGTTTTCTGCGAATAAGGTACCAAGTAATTTGTAATATAAACATTTGCTGTATTTCTGTATATTTGACTTTAAGGGATGACAAGAATGCAGAAGATGCAACCACATCATCTGAGGTTGCTACGATGTACAAAAACCAAGTTCAGATCCGAAATCAGCAAAGCTGTACTGAAGAAGATGACGATGATATTGAGTTTTAACTGGACTACACCTTGTGCCCATGGAATAATCCTTTTCTGGATAATCTATAAATAAAGACCATTTTATCACTAGAATGCGTCTTATTAAAATGTGAATGCATTGAACAATATTGCTCCTTATAATGGCATATGCAGTTCATTGGAGTGTTCTGTTTTACATGGGTGGTCTATTGGTATGAATTCATTTCTAGCCCATACAACGCAGGACGTCAACCTAATTGATTTGAATTTCCGAAAACTTCGTGTGCTTAGGTGAGTTGTGAAGAACTTTTCACTTGTTAGTGCGTTTTGTAGATAAAATAAAATTGATGAAGCTGTCGATGTCGATCAATACCTGAGAGATGCGCCATGTATTCGACTGCATTGAGCATCGTTTAGACGTCATTTAATGCATATCTAGCCTTCACAGTGACTTGTAGTGACCTACTGTTGTATCGAGCCAGTGCTGTTGTCCTCGCAGACAAGTATGGTACCAATTTGCCGACCCCAGAGGGATGAAGGCTTGGTGAACCTTGGGCACTGGGATCGTGCCGTCTCCGACCATTGTACTACACGCGTTTTGCAGATAGAAGTTCATAAAGGTAGATTTAAGAGTTTGTGGAGGTATGTGTGCATCAATTTTAGGGGATACCTTGGTAAACTTGCTAAATACTGGATCAATAGTGACAGGTTTTGGTGATAAATCTTTGCTAATCCAGGTGAGTTGATTGGGATCTACATTTTTTTCATCATGATCCAACTTTGAATATTTCGGTAACCTAGGACTTTAAGCCATGTGAGTATGGAGTTTCTGGAATGCGTTTTTAGCAATCGCTTGGTATCTGGCGATTCTCTGTGCTAGTAGCGGAAATGTTTGAGAAGGTGACAATTGCTTAGCACGAAACTAGCATGATGTGTGAGGCAGAGCTAAGTACTTCATTTGTCCAATTTCCGCAACGATGGCTAAGTGTTACCCGTTATTTGAGCTTTGTTGTAGAAAAGAATTGATTTTTCTAGATGACCCGTGTTGGGTGCAGCTAATGCAGCTGCAGATAACCAAGCAGTTATCACTGGTGAAAGACTAGCGCTGAGAAATGTTTAGGATTTTATCTGGTCAGCGACTGCGTTAAAATTCGTCATTTATAGTGTCGATTCCATCTTTATCGCACATTACAAAGCAATCAAGTAGTCTTTTTTTATCGCATTAAGAAAGAAATAGAGCGCACTACTATTGGACTCATTCGTGTGGTATTCATCAATCGAGCTTTCTCACCTTTCCAAGCCATTTCAATTGAAATGACAGATTACTGTTGATTGACGAATATTGAGTTCTTATGTAACCTCTGGAGTCGTTTCTAGAGAAACATTTGGTTTACGTCTACAACTTTATTCACTCGTAGGACTCTTATCTCAGGTAAGAAATCTTCTGAATTTGAAAACAATCTGTGCACTTTGCGCTCGGAAATGGTTTCCTAGCTTTCTACTTCAATGAGAAATAACAATGTTTCGAGTACGATCCGCTGAAGTGTATCCAGGTTTGAGCTCATCGAACCCGAGAAAACGTCCTTTTTCTCCCAAAAACACGATTTGAACTCAGCTGAGATTATTGTGGATTAAGTATTAGAAGTACTACGCAAGTATCAGTTATGGAACAGATCAGTTTTAAAGTGATTTACAATAGCAATGTACGGAGTGCTTCTTCATTACAGTATGTGCTTCTAAATTTCACAGCGTCGTTCAATATCTGTCTTTGTTTTTGAATCGACTTAATACTTGAGCATAGTTACACACTAATTACTCCATGTAATCACCACATGCTTAACTTGCGTTTCCACCGTCTTCTCGCATTTTCCTTCACTTTCCGTCACTACTTGGATACTTGGTCGGCCCGTCGTCATTGCTAGTGTGGGCCCAAACATATTCTCCACTTTCGCAGTCCCGCTGGTTAAGCCATTGTGTTTCTCTGGAGTCTCCAGGTTAGCCTGACCGGTGCACCAGGTCGTCATCACCACACGCTGTCTCCGCCATTCTGGATTAGAGGGTGAGTTACTATCATGCGACTACTTTGACACCAGGGCGCTGATGGATCATGGTATTGGTTTAGCTGGGCTTCCTGGCGGAAACTCTGGATTCCTTCTCAGCTTGGGAGACTGTTGGAGGATGAATCCCCTCGCTACATCGTAGCCCGACACCCAGAAACACCTCCCAGCCACTGTGACACGGTAAACCGTGACGACGTTCCCTCATTTAGTCAAATTACTTACACTTTACCCTGATAACACATATTTTTGCACGAGTTTTATTATTTTGTTCATGTTGTATTTTAGGATCTCTCATAGTGTGCTTAGTTAGTGCAAGTAGACGTGTTCTTCTAAATAAGTATATATATATATATATATATATATATATATATATATATA